TCTCCTGGGAACTCAACTCAATCATCCTTCCTGAGACTTCCACTTCCATGATGATTTTCTGAATGGTCTTTAGGAGAGGGTCTCAGGCCTCAGAAAGTCCAACTCAAAGCCACAACATCCCTATCCACTTCTTACTGTCCTGAATTCTTGGCTCTAAAGGCAGAGGTTACAAATCCCCTTATAGTTAGGACAAAACAATGAGGAGTTCCAAATGGGCGTGAGCTGACAGGCACAGAATTCAAGAGTATTCTGCCAAGGGCTTTTTAACGAGGTCTAGTCCTTGTGCTGAAATAAGCACTTATGTGTACCTACCACGTGTCCACAGAAAAGAGATTGGTAATGAACTGCGGGAGAAATAAAAAGGGATTTTCATTAGATCTTAAAACATTGTTAACAATGTTAGCTGTGGATTCTTTTCTCACTGGAATTACCCATGACAAAAATACTTAAAATGTATATCAACAATAATAGTCTACGCCCCAAATACGATTAAATTTGTGGTTATTTTAGTTCACTTAACATATGGGGCATCATAATGCAGCTCTCCCTCCTCTCACCCCACAATTAGCATAACAGACAATTCTACACAGGACCCCAATCACCACGTGGATGTTGTTTATCTGTATCTTTCTCCCCTTTCCACTTCTATTCTGGTTTCAACCAATGGCTTTTCCCACATTTATACACCATTTTGCACTTGTAAATGCTAAGTACAAACTGTGTTTCTCAAGTAGTTGGGGGGTCTGAGATTATTTGTTTATTTTTAGTTTAATTTATACACACGCACACACACACACACACACACACATATACCTAAACACATATTCATATATATTCTCATGTACATCAATATATTTTCACACATGTAATCATCTCATGTTTGCTTTGTTCCTCTTTTTCTTGCTAGTTCCTACCCCTGCTTTGCTTTCCCCCCCCCTTATTGTGGATGCACCCCAACAAGAAGCCCAGTCAGCACCCACCTGGGTCTTTCTGGTTCTCTTTTATGTTCACAATAGTGGACATATCTGTGCTCAGTACACTAGTCCCCTCTTATCTGCAGTTTCATTTTACACCGTTTCAATCACTCCCAGTTTAAAAATATTAAATGAAAAATTTGGGGAATAAACAATTTAAAAATTGTCGTAAGTAATTTATAACATGTACCATTTTCCATAGTGTGATGCATCTGGTGTCTTTCTTCTCCTTCCCATGAAGGAAGTGAATCAACATTTTGTCCAGCAAAAACTCACAATATAGACATTACCTGGCCCTTAATCGCTAGTCACCGTCTCAGTGATCACATGCCTGTCATGGTGCCACAGTGGGCGCGTTCCAGCAAGACTAAGGCAGCTGCCTGGTGCCAGGAACCAAGGTCTACGCCATCCACCTCACCCCATCTCATCATGGAGGCTTTGTTATCATCTCACGTCATCACAAGAAAGGTGAACACAGCAGAGGAAGATATTTTTTGAGAGTCAGAAAGAAAAGACCATATTCACGTAACATTGGTTATACTCTATTGCTATAATTATTGTTTTATTATAATTATGTTGTTTATATCTCTTTTTGTGCATAATTTACAGATAAGACTTTATTATGAGTATATATGTGTAGCAAAATATCATAATATGTATAGGTTTCAGTTCTATCTGTGGTTTCGGCTATCTTGCTGAAGCTCTTGGAACGTATCCTGCACATATTATGGATGACTAACTGTACAGTTAAAATCATAGAAAATATTCATATACTCCTGTATACATTTTTCTAACTTGTTACCTTTCTTGAAGTCATCAACATAGATTTCATTAGATCTTTTTTAAAAATAGCTATCCGTTATGTGAACATATCACAATATATTCAACCATTTCATGATTGAAATGCTAATTTTTTGTCACTATAAACAATGTTATAGTTGGTAATACCTAACTTTATAAACTGGATTTTAAGTATCTTTAGTATTAATGCCTAAGATTGGAATTGCTAGGTCAAAGGCTATATGTATTTTTACTATTAGTAGACATTGCTAAATTCCTTTCAGAAAACATTACAAAATTGCACATTTATATCAGCAATACATGTTTTTCTCTGCATGCATATCAGCAAAAGATATTAACACTTTCCCGCTGGGTACAGTGACTCATTCCTGTAATCCCAGCAGCTAGGGAGGTTGAGGCAAGAGAATCACAAATTCAAGGCCATCCTCAGCAACTCAGCAAGGCCCTAAGCAACTCGGTGAGACCCTGTCTCTAAATAAAATACAAAAAGTGCTGAGGAAAAAAAAAGATATTAACATTTTTCCAAATTTTTGCCAGTCTGAGAGATATCTGCTTCTTCAGTCTATTAGTGTATTTGAGTGTGTTTTCCTATGATAACAGGCTATTTTGGGGTTTCTCTTTTGTTGATTACATTCTTTGTATACATCTCTATTTTTTATTTGTACATTGTCAATCTGTAAGAGCTTATTTTTTTACTATGTTAACCATTTATCTGTATCTATGCTTTGAATGATTTTCAAGGTCTTCCCTCTGTCTATTTATTTCATTTGGGATATTTTTGATAATAAATTTGTTTTTGGTCATTTGGTCATATACATGGCCATTTGTGATAGTTTGATATGTTTACACAATTTTTGTTTTCTAAATTTTCAGTGTTCACGAACTTTGTTTAATCTGTTCAATTTTCTCACAAATCTTCTTGTAATTTTTTTTGTTTTACACCAATATTTATGCAATATGATATTTATTACTGCATATGGTATGAGAATCAATTTTTCATTTTTTTTAATTAGAGAGCCAGAGTTTCTGGTTTCTTTTATTAAAAAAAAAAAACAAAACAGAAAACAAATAAAACCCCCATATACGTCTCTTACTCTATGAAATCTCTAACTTCTCTTATAACTAAAATATATTTGTGGATTTCCTAGTATGAACCAATAGTATGACTCAATAGCTGCTTCTGACATAAGTAATAGAGTATCTTCTTAATTTTTGGGTAGTTTGTTGTTGGGATTTGTCAGATAATTATTCTTTTAAATAAACTTTAAGACTGTCTTATTGAAGTCCAAAAGAAAAACAAAATAAAAAACAGAAGGCCCTTAAAACTCCATTGGGATTCTAACTGGAAGACTTTAACAAATTAATAAATAATAATTATATATACATATATATGAAATACAATGTGATATTATGAACATCATGCAATTACCAAATCAAGCTATTCAGCATATCCATCACCTTACCTACTTACCATTTAGGGTATAAGCATTTAAAGACTACTCTTTTTTATTGGTATTTGGAATTGAACTCAGGGACACTTGACCACTGAGCCACATCCCCAGCCCTATTTTGTATTTTATTTAGAGGCAGGGTCTCACTGAGATGCTTAGCATCTCACTTTTGCTAAGGCTGACTTTGAACTCGTGATCCTCTTGCCTCAATCTCCCTAGCCACTGGGTTACAGGTGTGCACCACTCACCTGTCTAAAGTCTACTATTTTAGCAGTTTTGAAATATATAATACATTATTTTTAACCAGTCCACCATTATGTGTAATATAGATCATAAAATTTGTTCTCCGAACTGAAATTTTATACCCATTGCCTAACACCTTGGGAGAGTTTTAAAAAATATATTGTGAAACTTCCTATCCAAGAACATGTTTGCCTTTTCATTGATTTCTTATGTCTTTCATTAAAATTTAATAGATGCTGTATATACATTTTGAGTCTTGCTTTATAAAATTTGGTTGACTTTTCAAAGTTTTGGTCACTATCATGTATGAAATATTTTTTTCTAATTTCTATTAGACATTTAGAAATAAAAAATTTGTTTCTATCAGAAATTAAAATTTCTATTACAAATAGAAATTTTCTAGAAAAAGGTAAAGGCTGTTGATTTCTATGCATTTATCTTCTGTCTAGCCATTTGCCAAGTTTTATAAATACTGCACTTTTCTGCCTTGAATATTTTGGGTTTTCCACATACACAATCATAATTTTAGCAAAACGTGTATTTTTTCCTCTTATTTTTCAGTGTTTATAACAGATACTTCATTTTCTAAAATTTTTAAAGCAATGCTTTAAGACAAAAAGGGTAGTGATAGTGTTTTCTAATTTGTGATTAGAATTAAATTTGTTAACTTTTTTCCACTTAAATTTTGTTTGGAGGTAAACAATCTTTATTATGATTGAAGAACTTCTACTTTTACTTTTCTTAAGCTCTTTGTACAAATGCCTGCTGAATTTTACCATGTGTCTTTCAGGCACTATTGATTGATTGCCTAATTTTGTCACTTAATTCACATGAGGGATGATTGACAGATTTCCTTCTATTAAGCCACCCTTACTTTTCTGTGCACGTTTCCATGATTGTTTTGTAAATTCCTAGAGAAATGTTTACCAAAATGTGTCAAATGTTAGTAGGTATAACTTAATAAAAGGACGCCATGATCAAATTAATTTGAAAGTCACTGGACCAAACAAAGTTAAACCTTAGTTTCCAGAACCTTTGATGCTAATGTGCATTGTCAATCTTTCAAGAGGAGATTCTGAACACGGAGTGTTTAGTGAACTTTGCTGGATCATCTATTTTTCATGGACCAACCCATGAGATTAGCTCAGAACACACTTTGGGAAATGCATATGTGGAGATCATGTGCTAAGATTGTCAAATATTTTCAGCACACAAGACCCAACATGGTGGTAAATAAAACATCATGACTATACGATGCCAAAACCTATTTGTTTGGAGAAAAATACTTTAGTTAATTAACATTTTATGCCAACCAATTTTACTTTCATTTATACTAGATTTTTACCAGTGTAGGCTCAAATTGTGGATGTAGGGCATGATGTAGACCCATCTTAGAAGTGACCCATCCAGAGGCTGGATGTAATCTCAGTACCGACCATTGTTAAATATGATGCAAGGAAATCATGCAATATCCACCTTTCTCTGCAATTCAACCATGGTATCGTGAGTAGGTCTTGCACATAGTACTCACCAATGACATATTCCACCCTGAATAAATCCCTCCTGGGATCGTAGGGACGATTGAAGTCAATCTGGACATAAAAAGACTGTCCTCTACGGACAATCAACTTGTCATTGTCGTACTTGTCAGTGTGGTGATCAATCTTGTTGGAGTCCCATCTCTCCTTGAACAGGTGAACGGCTGAGACATTCAGGAAGTCTACACACAGAGAAAACAAGCAGAGGACACCGTTAAGTAACTGTGGTTTCAATACAATTTCAAAAAACCAAGATTTTTCCCCCCCAAAAAAGAAGGAAAGCAGTTCTGTTGAATGAAACTCTGCACAGGGAGGGGACGTGGAGCCAATTTGAGAGTCAGCCTCCCGTGATATTCTTGCTTTGGAAGAGAATTTGCTAAAGCTTTTTCTATCGCTGGTCTCATTTCAGATCACAGGACACTCACTTTGGGAGAGACAGATGCTTATCTAATAGATCTAGACACAGAGAAGCGAGGGCCAGAGTTCAAGTCTTCAGATTCTCAGTCTCATGCTGATTTGTGTTATGTTAGCCTCTTCCCGTCATGACTATGCCTCCCTATGTGACACAGCCACTTCAATTTTCTTATCTTTCAAAAGGGAAGAATTGAATCTGACAAAGCCTCAAAGGGACTTTCTAAGGACAAAGTTGGCCATTAATCCAAAATTCTGCTCTTCCACCAGGAAAGGTCAAATGCCCCATCCTTCTGTAATTCTAAAAGTAGACCCGGTCCCTCAAAGGCAGGGAAGAGAGGGAACAGGTCTGGAGACAGGAAAATGACATTTCTATGTGGTAAGTATGATCGCTTCCATTTACACAGCAAGAATCAGCCTTTCATTTCCTTATGACCCATCTGGAAGTCAAACCCCGGTCTGTTTGATGTCAAAATTTCCAGGATGTTCCTGTCTTTTGGAATCAGTAGTATATATGTCAGTTCCATGTTTACCAGTCATCTAATTTTCTAGCCATTACTTAAACTCGTTTCCTCATCATAAAATGAGGATACCAACATTCGTTTCAGAAGCATGATACAGGAGCTGACATCTCTGTGAAAGTGACATGAGATGACATGAAATGACACATGAAAGGACTTGGCAGAGTCTAACCCATAATAATCATGAATAGAGGTTAGCTTCCCTCTTGTCGTTTCCCATTCTCTTCTGCAAATGATCGCTTCATGGGAAAGTAATGCTAACTACTTGTCTATGCCGTCGTCTAGAAGGCTGACTCTGGAGGCTGACTTCTTTATGTGCACTTGACATTCTACAGGGTCACTGGGGAGACAAGGTTGGTGGGCTGCCCTGGCTTTCTGCCCTCCCTCTCTGTCCCTAACTCTGCCTGCTACACAATTATCCCTTGTGGCTGTAAACATGCTACTCTCTGAGAGCACAGCTTCTGAGCTTATACACATGCTAAGGCATCTCTCTGCAGTGCTCCAAAGACATCTTTGCTTTTATACAGGAATCTTGTGCAGGATTCCTGGTCCCCTTGGGTCCCTTTTTTTTTTCTTCATAGGTAAAACTAGGAAGCTGGGCTCTGTTTGTTATAGGTTGCGTTTGAAATGTCCCCTGAAAAGCTCATACGTTGAAAGCATGATCCCCAATGCAGCAAGGTACAGAGGTAGGCTTATAGCCAATGATTAAGGTTCTGAAATCAAAAGTGGATTAATCCATTTGATGAATTAATCCACTGATGGCTGAAAGAAATGATGGGTGGTAAACTGTAGGTAGGTGGGGCATGACTGGAGGAAGCAGGTGGCTAGAGGTATGTCCTGGGGGACTATATTATGTCCCTGGCTCTTCAGACTTTCCCTCCCACCCCCCCTGTCTCCTGGCAGCCATAAGCCAATTACCTCATTTTTAAAATTAGCATACTAAAACTTTGGGAACTTCTAAGAAGATGTAGTGATATGTGACACAGGGGCCTGGCACTATGTCTGGCACATGGTGGGCTCCTAGGTGTACAGTTGCTTGTGGAACATGAGCTCTGACAGAGCCATTCAGGTGGCGTGGTGCTCCATGGGTTACTCTGACTAGCGCATTACAGCAGAAAATGCAGAATGCAGTTTTATTTTTGCCTCATCTCAGAAGCCTGTTGTAGTATATGGTCCCCTGAAGGGAACTTTCTTTCTGTTATGTTTAATTTTCTAGACCTTTATTATCCAAGCTGCCTTCTCCTAAGTTTTCCGACTTTATTAAGGTCACAATCCCCAGAGTTAAACCAGCCTAAGAAGGAGCTGGAGGAACATTGATGTCCCAGGTGAAAATGAGTTCAGTGACCAACTCCTCTGGTCTTCTTTTTTTAGCACAGTGCTTTTAAATACTTTTTTTTAATACCTCCAAATCTAAGTCCTCAGGAATAGATTTAATCAATTCCTCACTCATCATTACCCATGGAAGAAGTCTATGAATATCACAACTTCACAGAGGCACTTTCTGGACCATCTGGTCAACCTACTACATACTGCTTGAACCATCTTCATGAAAGTCTGAGAACCTGAGCTCCCAGTCTTTGAGTGAGCAGAAAACTCTCTCACAGGCTAAACAGTTGATTTTTGAACAAGTCTAATGATTTAAAAAATTTTTTGAGATAAATGGACATCTGCCTCCCTATAATTTTTCTAGTTGTTGATCCTGGTTCTGATTTTGGGATAAATATAGAGGAAGTCCCCTATTCATTTCATCTGGCACTTGGTAGGTATTTAGAGACTTCTCTTAGGCCTCCTCTGAGTCTCCATTTCTTCAGCTGTTCTGTAAGAAATTATTTTCAGAACTTCTACCTATCATTCTGTTTTGGAATATATTTCATTTTGTCGATTCCTCTCTGGAGGTGTTTTCCCTGGAACTGAGCACATTAGTCTGGCTGTGGTTTTTTTAAATAAACTACAATGAGAATCACTACATCTTTCAAAATAAATAGTGTAGTTTGCCAAGTGCAGTGGTGCACCCCTGTAATCCCAGCAACTCTGGAGTCCAAAGCAGGAGAATTGGAAAGTTCGAGACCAGCCTCAGCGAGGTAGTGAGGTTCTAAGCAACTTAGCAAGACCCTGACTCAAAATGAAAAAATAAGAAAGGCTGGGGATGTGGCTCAGTGGTTAAGTGCCCCTGGGTTCAATCCTCAGTACCAAATAAATAAACGAATAGTGTATTTCTATTAATTCAGTCTGAGGTATCATTAGTATCTTAGACACACCTTACTGTAGATTTATATTAAGGATCTGATGAAGCAAGACCCTTGAAAATGTTTTGTAATGTCCTTTCCCTGAATATTGAGTTAAATGTCAATTCAGATCCCTACAAACCACTAATATGTGCTGCTTTGGGCCATATTTGTTTATGCAATTGTTTTCTTCTTTTAAGCTCAATTTTGAAGTCTTATGTAGATTCATAGTAAATTCCTTTTTATTGAATTGGCTTATTGCTCTTAAAGTAATTTTATACCCTAACTGTGCATTCAATACATTTAAGATTCTATCTTCCTGCCCTCCAGGATTTCTACAATGTGCCATTTTATGATGCCATCCAAGTGGTGGATATAAATATTGACAAGGCCATTGCTTAATAACTACAAGCTAAGCACACACATAGTGGCAGATACGAAAATATGGGCAGATGATTATGATACGGTGGGATAACTATGCCTTTTAAAGGATGTATAGAATACTGGGTGGGGGTTATTTGGTAGGAGCCCCTAACCAGACTAGGGGATTTTCTGGAGGAAATAAGATAGAAACAGTGGTCAAAAGAGGAGTAAACAATCCACGTGGAAAGGAAGACCTAGAACAACGCTTCAAGCAGAGAAAAGAGCATGTGCAAAGATCAAGGCGTAGTTACTGAAGAAACTGAAAGAAGATTGGTTGGTGGGTGTAGTAGGAGGGGCCATCGTAGAACAGCATCCAGGAGCCAACTCCTGCCAGGCTTATAGGCCACGTCAAGGGGTTTGGACTTTGCAAACATTTATGTTTACAAATATAAATTTAAACTGATTCTGGAAGTCCCCAGGGTTTGGATGGTGTCAGTGCTGGAGGCTAGCTGGGAGGGCTGTGAGTTTGGTCCACCTGATCCTGGAGCATTCCCAGGACTTGCCTCCTGGATTCCTACCCTCCCCCCCCATCATCAGGTGTCCTTGAAAATGAGCATATTAGCAAATGCCGTATCCTCCCAAGAAGCTCTGCCAATAGAAAAAATTAAGTTGAAGTGGAAGATTCAAGTATTTCTTTAGTATCTAGTGCTCATCAGCCTAATTTCCATTGCAAAAGAAAACATGGCTTTTCAGTTTTATCTCCCAGGCTACTGAACCTGGTTAGTGGCCGGTGAGTCTAGTTAAAGTCAATCTATCCTTGTAGAGTGATGTGCTAATTCTGTGGGATGTCTGTTGGTATTGGAAGGCTCAGTTTCCCTGATTAAACTGATTTGGAAAATGCTGGCCTAATCAGGACTCTTCACCACAGCAGTAACAGGAGCCTTGAATATGCTGATGTGCTCTGCAAAGTTCCCAAAGAGCAATGGTTTCCATACTTAAATGACCATGGACAATTTTTCCTTTGAAGATCAGTGTTGTGCAGAATATGCTTTGGGAGATGCTTCTCTACTTACTAATTATACAACCTCAGGAAAGTTATTTATTCTCTCTGAGCTACCGTTTTCCTACTTTTAATATAAGAATGAAGTACCTACCTCCTGGAGTGCGTGCTACCTAGTAAATTCTCAATAAATGTTTCTTATTACTGTCATTGTTGTTATTATTATGAAAGTTAGAATAGTACAATGGATAGGAGCCTGTGATTTGGACCCAGAATATCTGGACTCAAATCCCAGCTCTGCTACTTACTTTAGTCTTTATGACCTTGGGCAAGTCATATAAACTTCTTGAGCCTCAGTTTCCTCTTTGGCAAAATAGACTTGGTATAGGGATTAAATAAGAAAATGTGTTGAGTTCTAACTCTAGCACATGGTAAATGCTCAGCAACTGATAATAATAAAGAATAATAATAGCCCTGAGCATTTGGGCAGATTCTTGGAGTCAATGAGTTAAGAAGACAGGTCTCTCAGAGGACTGGTGAAAAGTTTGGATCTGAGCAATGCAAAGTTACTTTAGTAAAGAATGCACACTGGAAAGCTTTCTAGAACCTTTCTTTCAGCCTTACCAAACCCATGACCTTTTACATTCCCTGTCTTCAGAGAA